CTGTGGTTGGGATGTAATATATGAGAGAATAAATTAATAAAAAGGACTCTTGGTTGTCTGGAACCAGAGCTCTTATTCAGACACAGGCCAAGCCGGGACCCTACAGAGCTCACCTGGGACCCACTGTCTGAGCTTCTTCCCTTGATCTTGTTACAGATGTACTCACGCTGAAAATGTGCTACTTGGAGTGCAGGGACCACAAATGTGATGTCTCCCATCATCTCTGCATACTGTATTTGCAGGGTCTGTGGGTCCTCAGTGTCCCCCATGTACTCTTCCATTATCAGGTCACTACACTCGGGAGGCAGCATCTGTACCACAGGAATCAAGAAGAATGGGGGGGGGGACACAGGCACTAAGATGTGTAGGCAGTAGGCTCAGTGGGGAAATGCAAAAGAGGTGTGGTATGGGGAAAGCTTGGAGTGACCTCAGATAGACAGGTACACACACACACAGGTACACACAGACATGCACACACACAGGCACACACACAGAGGTACACACAGAGAGATGCACACACACAGGCATACACAGAGGAGCACACACAGGTAGGTACACACGCACGTGCGCACACACACATACACACTTATTTCTGGAGATGCTCCTTATGAAAGTTAGGCAGGGGTCCTTGCAGTGGTGGCAGTGGCCCAAGAGTCTCACCATCTGTGATGTTGTGCTCTTCAGAACAGCAGGCAGGGTTTGTCTGGTTATTCCCTTCATTTTCTGAGCAGAGCCCATCTGGGGTATGGAGAATGGTTTTAAGTATGCCATGACATGGATATGGATCAACGAATCTCTGAGTTCCCATTGCCCATCCCAGGCTCCCAGAAGATTAGAACTGAGCCTCACCATAGAGAAAAGCCAACCATACTCATCATTGTTGACACCAATGATGCTGGGGACAGGGTGAAAATCAGCAGAGGCCAAGAGCTCCTCGGGGTGCCTGGGGAAGAACTCTCCATCCACCACTGCGGGGATGACCTTGAAGACCTGAGGGGCATTAAAATCAATGCTGAAGGTCAATGAAATACATATGCTGATGACCACTGAGTTACCTCCACCCCTTCTCCGCTTGTTAAAGTGTCTCAGGATGGTTATTCTCTACCACTTCTCCGTCTCACTCCTGAAGAGACCTTGCACTTGGAATAGCCGATGCTGGTATTGATTTTGCCCAGGACTCAAAGGATACTAAGCCACGGAGCTTAGGTAATTTGCTCATACTAATGAGGACTACCTGTAACACACCTTGCAACCTGCCATCTTCCCAGCCACACCTTGTTAATAGCCAGAATCTCTGCTTCGCTCTTGCCCCGTAGACAGCGCACTAGCGTCTCTGTGTCCGCAGCTGCACAATCAGATAGATTGGCCACAGTCTGGAAAGGGAGGAGGATGAGGCTGCCTGGATGCCTTGTCTTCCAGGCAGAGGAGTTTTCCCAGGCCCGGGAGGGCGCCATTGGCTCTAAATATTATACCATGCGGTGTAATGTGTGTGGACTGGAGTCAGAACAAAAGTGTTCTCATTTTCCTCTTGGTCAGCAGTGGCAGCTCTCCCTTCATCCCTCCCTCCCTCCCTCCCTCCCTCCTCCCACCCTCTCTCCTCCCTCCCTCCCCTCTCCTTCCCTTCTTCCTCTTCCCACCTTCCATCTAGTTTGAGAAATACTCTCTGGTTCTGCTGCAGCCTACACCAGTCTAGCTAGTCTGTAACCTTCCGGGGATTAACCTGTCCCTGTTTCCCATCTCACTATAGGAACACCTGGATTAGAGTCAAGAAAAACCACACCCAGATATATGTGTGTTCTGGGGAATTGACCTCAAATTCTCATACTTGCACAGAAAACTCTCTTGCCTCTTGTACTGTCCCCCAAGCCCACATATACTTGCTTTTGCCAATAATGGAAACTTCTAGGAAGAGCTTTGCTGAACTTACAACATACACCCCTTGTATAAAGCACTATGGGGTGGGGGAAGGGGGAGGGATCTAAACCTTGAGCCTTTTAGAAAGTACTGAGGGAAGTTACTTCCCATGGTCCTCATTCTCCCGACTGATGGCAGCAGCAGAGTCCTAGAGAGTGAGCGCTAAGACAGCAGGTCAGGGCTGGAGGAATAGAGTGCACTCACTCCATAAACCACCTCAGAGGAGCTGGAGATGAGGCCAGGCAACACGGCTACTCCACTCTCCATGATGGCTCTGTGGAAGAGTCCTTTGGACATGGGGGACAGAACATGTGAAGACACACTTGTGCCACCTGCTGACTCTCCAAAGATGGTGACAAGGTCAGGGTTGCCTCCAAAGTGGGCAATGTTCTGCTGGACCCAGCGCAGGGCGGCCACTTGGTCCAGGTAGCCCCAGTTGCCTCTGGCGTGCTGGTCTCCAGTACTGAGAAGAGAAAGGGACACGGATCAAAGGGCTGTCCAGGTTCTTCTCAGCTGCCATTGCCCAGCCCAGCCCAGGCTCACCTGAAGAAGCCCAGGACACCCAGGCGGTACTGGATAGTGACCACCACCACATCCTCAGTGGCTGCCAGTATGGCCCCATTAATCATAGAAGCCATGCCTATAACCAGAGCACCACCATGGATCCATACCATCACCTGGAGAAGTCAAGAGAGATATCAAGAGGCTTCTTTCAGGCACAAGTTCAAGTGGGACTGTCTCCCAGATTAGTGTCTTCTTTCTATCTGTGCAGCTAAACACACACAGGACTCCTCAGCATCTTAGACCCAGGCCACAGGTGAGGAACAGAGTCTCATCAGTGTATTTCCAAGCCCCACTGTTGCACCAGGAATCTCAGTTTGGATTAATGGATTTAAGTCCAGAGTGATGTCCCTATCACTCCCAGACTCCTCAAAAATGTGGAGAAGGGTGTGTCCATAAGAGTTTTCCTGATTATGAATCAAAAGCATCACCAAATCTCATTGGCACAACCAATATCCCAAAGTTGGAAATTTGGCTTATCTCAATGTTCATCCTTGGATTCCTGCCTGGGCTCTAAGACTCAAGTTTGTTGAGAATGTCCTGAGTGAGTCCATGGCGCACAACCCTGACCTCTCAGAGTCCAGCGCTCAGTGTCCTATATCCAGGGGTTAGCTGCCCACCATGACTGAGAAGGCTCTCGTGGACACATTAGGAAAAGACTTCTCATTAGGTTCTACACCGCAGTGGAACTCAGTTGATTTTACGCCTTCTAATCCTCCTGAGAAAGAAATCGCCACCCCCACCCAGTTGACCGTGGCCCAACTCTCACAGGCAGGTTAGAGCCCTCACGGGCATGCGCTGGTGTGTAGACGTTGAGATACAGGCAGTCCTCGGACATAGAGATGGGAGGCATGTAGTGTTTTATCATCTTCAAAACCCCTGAATTCATCATATCATCATTTTGTGGACACCTGGTGACAATGACAGACAGTTATTACAAGAGATGTCTGGTAGTTAAAATTGGGTTTTAGTATGGATTTTCTCTCTGACACTTTTGGCCACTTTCCTTCAAGATGTTCCCCTAAAGCATGAGTACTCTCTAAAGTCCTTTCCTACCAAGGTAAAGGCTACAGGCTCAATGAAATGAACCAGGTTTCACCCCACATCCAGAAACATAGGGGTTCCCATTCCCACGTAGTTTCCAGAGGAAGCTTTTGGACATTTCTTTAAACAATGGCACTTGGCTCTATGGATTGTCCCAGTGAGTGCTGACGATGGAGTGGCTAAGGACACATCCCTGATGCCCTCCTGAGAGACTTACTTACAGTACTTGGCACTAGACCCTGGGCTTTGGCTGGTTAATGTGTTTATATTGGCCCTTGTCCCTAGATCTCTTCCATGGTGGCAGAGATCACTTGGCACAATCTGAATCTCAGAACCTTTTTTTTTTTAAACCTCTTTCTCACTGAAAAACTGAGAGACAACTCCCTACAGGAACTGGACTATGACCCAGGAGATTGGCAAAATTGCTTTGTTAGAAGCCTCAGTCATGCATCTGAGAATGCAAGGCAGACTGCACATCACATGTAGAAAACTTCTGTTATGTTGGGATGAAGGAAGCCCTTCATTCTGGCCCACAGCTCAGAGAACATTTTCACCTCAGAGCTTAAAACTCCTCTGAACCCCAGAACTTACATGGCTGGATAGGAGGTCCCATCTCTCACACCACTCCATGGCTCAGGGGCTTCAGGGGGTGCAAAACGCAGTTGTCCTATAGGTGGCTTGGCAAATGGAATTCCCAGGAATCTGTGGACACCAACTTCAGTGTTTTTCACCTTGACGAGGCTTCCTCTAACCTGGCCAGTGTGTGTGTTCCTGATGGGGCTGGCTGAGTCCTGGCCTGGGAGAGATGCCATCAGGGTTAGTCCTACTTAGGCAGTTGCCACCATACTGTTATTTCCCACCTCATTTTCTCTAGGGTCCATAGGGAAGGGAATCTGGGGTGCCTGGGATTAGCTATGAGATGTGGGGATATGAGTTTCTTTATTGTCCCGATGTCCAGGAACATAGCTCATGCCCCTTTTGAGTGGTGGCTGTGCAAGCGTGTGACCAACAAGGAGACATCCTCAGAGCCGCTTGGCAGCATGGATGTATTACTTTCGTGATCATCCAGAGTTCTGTAGCAGCTACACACACGCACGGAGGAAGGAAATGTCCCCTTGGTTCTTTCCCCTAATCTGCAGGTCCAGTGCTTCTCAGACCTCCTTATCCTGGATGGCTTTTGTGGTAAGGACATCTCTAGCCTCTGGGTGCTGCAGGGCTCATTGTGTGGGTTTTGGTGGGGACACTGGGAGGTCCATAATTCCCACCCTTGTATCTGCCATCTATACCAACTGCTCCCTTGTTGGTTCCTTCCCTCCTGTAAGACAAGCTGCCCACTCTGCAGATCTGGGCGGCCCTGACCCTGGTCCTCAGTGCTCACTGAAAGAGTCTCACCTTGTACATGCAGGAAGAGAAGCAGGAGCCCACAGGTCACAGCCCTCAACCAGCTAGGAAATCTTTGCAGTTTCATGGTCGGCTCCTAGTCTGAGTCCGTGTTGCTGTGTGTCACGGACAGAAAAGAGAACGTGTGGGCCTTGCGCGGGCAGGACGGTGGACCTACAATAAAGTAGGCAGAAACTCAGCAGGGCGGGGCAAAGTTTGTTCTTGCTCTTTGGCCTCCATGAAAGAGATAACATGGCATCTAAAGCAATTCTGTGATACCAGGAGTCCTGTATGAAAACTTAAATGAACTCAAACCGTGACGGATTAACATAAAGGATCATGAGCTAAATTTTCCCAGTGAAAGAATTATTTCCATCCTTGAAGTGTGGATTGTTGCTTACCTCATCCTCTTATGCAAATTTACCAAGTTATTCCAGTGAAAGGTAAATTTTATTGTATAGAAATTATTTGATGGCAAAGCTTTCCAATGGTAAGAGGGTTACATAGTGTCTAAAAACGCCTTGGTGAAATGTTCTGTACATCCGCAGAAGTCTACATCTCACAGAGATGTGTATACAGCAGGAGCTCAGTAATGCCCTCAGGTGCCTGTGGAAGTACCAGGCACAGCTCATCTGCCCAGCTGTAGAGGCCAAGCAAATAGTATTCTCATAGCTCTCCTGCCACCTGGTGGTCAGAGAGGGTACTGCAAGAATCATCACTTGGATGACGATGTTGTATTGGTTTAAAACAACAAATCGAAAAATAAAAAAACAAATGAAAGAAGGAATGGTACCAGTGTTCCCAGGTCAGGGAGTAATTGCACACCGCTGTAATCTCAAGCCCCTAGACAAGAGGACTGTGTTTTGGACATGAAGTGAATTTCAGGACAATCAGTCCAACATATTGAAACTCCCTTTCAAAACAAATACACAATATAAGGCATTCCCATCAGCCCCTTTGCTTGTTCCTGTGCTCATTTTGGGAGGGTACAGGGGAGGGTGCACAGGCTGGGGTGGAAAGAACTTGAATTCTAACCCCACAGTAGATTTGGAGCTGTAAAACAGTGAACACCTGATCCCATTCTGTTAAACATCTTCACAGATGACACAAACATCTTCACAGATGTGCTGTGATCATGCAAGGGTGGGCCTCAGAGTCAGCAGAACCCTCGGGGGTAAAAACAAATCTCAGCAGACACAAAGGAACCAGCCCTACTCTTCTGGGCAGACACACACACACACACATGTACACTGACACACACACAGGCACACTGACACAAACACACATACATGCACACACACACACACACATACACACACATAGGTACACCCCCTGCAGATGCTCCACTCACAACACAACCCGGGAAACAAAAATTACACTCTCTTTTTACAGTGGATAATATTGGACCTAAGTCTTACACGTGTCAGGTAAGAACTATACCACTGAACTGTATTCCCAGATCACTGGAATTTTTTGTTCTTTGGTAAATTCATACACTAATAAAATATGTCATATTCAACCCTACACCACAACACCCTCAAGACACCCCAAACACCCACCATATTCTTCTTCTAATTTTGTTATTCCTTCCTCTTCTCTTCCTTCTCCTTTCCTCCTTCTGCTGTTCTTTCTTTTCTTTTTCTCCCTTCTCTGCCTCCTCCTCCTTTTTCTCTTTTTCCTCCTTTAATAACCCATTCACTAAAATTAGACTTAATCATTTTTGTACTTATCATGTGGAGAGAAACTATAACTAATGTTGCCTTCCCTGGAGCTTGCTCAATAGCTCAGGCAGGTTTCTCTTGTGATTCCTGTCCTTCAGACCTCTGAACAGAAAGGATTGTAAGCCTATGTCATCTGATCTGCTTTATTTTATTTTATTATTTTCTATGGTGTTGGGCATCACACCCAGGGCCCTGTAATACAGGGCAAGCTCTCTACAACTGAGTTACATCCCTAACCTTAAAACTTCTGTAAATGTTTAACACATGTGTTGCGTGACTAGGGAATCCTGCTCTAGCTTGTAAATTCAAAACTTGAGTACGTGAAATCATGTGTGAGAATATCCATACAGCTTTATTAAAATGCAAACCTGGGATTGGAGGCTCATGCCTATAATTTAAACACCCAGGAAGCCAAGGCAGTGATATCATGAATTCAGGGTCCGTCTGGGCTACATAGAGACCTTGTCCAAAAATGAAGAGCAAATAAACAAGTGAAAGAATAAGTTGGTGAAAATAATCAGTTGCCCATCGTTAGGGTAAGTGGATAGAATGTGTCGTGTGCACAGCTGGATGGCATTCCACAATAGAAGGAAACAAAAACATTATGTGAGGTGTCATAGCCAGTCACCCTACTTTCCACTTGTACTTCATTGGAAACAAGCCCCAATATAGCCATTTAAGTAATGTCTTGGTTACAGTGGTCAGTGGATGACAGCAAAGACGCATGAGGAAAGCCTTGGTGGGGGAGTGAGGGCTGTTCTGAACCGGATGTGGTGGCAGTTGCATGTCTTGTGAGTTTTCTCAGACTTACTAAACCATTCATCTAAAAGATTAATTTCATTTAAACAGCCCACAGTAGTCTAAGGGAATAGTTTGGGTAGAGCACTTGCCTGACACACATAAGCCCTCACAACAGGCCCTTGTCCCATAAAGACAACCCACAGCCAAGATACTAAAAGTGAGATCACTATTAAATGTCTAGAACAGATTCTGGCTCGGTGTTGGAAGTTTAGTGTGTATGTACAGAACTGAAAAGCAAAAACAACCTTGCAATAAGAACTTTAAAAAATTCTCTACACATAGAATGGGAACAACCTGCACGGTCAGTCTCACTAAGAGGACAATCTTCCCTGTTCCCTGTTCAAGTCAGCAGGGACTTAATGTTGTCCTTGGAATTCCATTGTTTACATATTCTACCAGCAGAGGGCACAAGATGTAATTCTTGAGACCTCTAGCAAGAGATCTGCATGACACCATAAAGCAAATCTGTGGACATCTGGTACCTGATTCTCAATCTATAAAACTGTACATTTGATACCATTTGTAAGTTATCGAGATTATGACTTTTTGGTTTTGTTTCTGAGCTGTGGGCCTTGCTAATTTGCCTTGGGCTTTTATAATCCTCCTGTCTCAGCCTCCAAACACCTGAGGCCACAGACACTAAGAGCCCAGCTTGTAGTTTATGACCTATTGGGAGCAGCTTTGTGAAATTATGAAGGCAATAGGGATTTGGGAAATCAGATTTTCTGTTGGCAGATGAGAAACAGAAAACATGAGCTTGCTGAGAAAGGACAGGGGATTTCCTATTGTCAATTGTGCCCAGAGCTTCTGCTTCATTTGAAGAGATTCGAAGGCTTCGAAAAGAGGAGAAAAGGGGGTGTGAAAAGATGCTGAGAGGAAGGAAAGCAGGGAGGGAAGAGAGGAGGTAGGAAGGGAGGAGCGAGCCTAATCACAGTGAAGTGTTAAGATGGGGGAACATTGGGGTTCACACATCCATATGGTTATGAGAGTATTTACTGAATCTAATAAAATGTGTCCAGAGGATAAGGAGTAACGCCCGGAGGGATTATCTTCCTGACTGAAAAGGCAAAAACTGAGGTTAGAAATGCTTATGTGAGCATTGAAACAAATAAGTTAAATAAATGGAATTTGTAACCTCAGGATGACCCCATCCACCTTTCCTGACATAGGCATTAAAGCTCTGTGTGCTTCTCCTGATTCCTCTTTAGCTCCTGGATCTTCTGAGGCAGAGTCTTCGTCCAGAACTGCAGCTTCCTGGCCTTCAGGGCTCGGCCCACAGCAGGATAGATGTCCAGCTGCAGGTACTGCTCATGGTGGATCAACTCAGGCCAGTAGGGGAGACCCTCACTGTTGGGGTTCCTGTGTAGATGATACCAGCAAGGGAAGGGTGAGGTCACTTTCACCCAAGACCTGATCCCTTGATTTGGGTCAGAGCAGTGGATGAGTAGGCCAAGGGTCTGAGGGCACAGGAGAACTGGTATACAGATGTAGAACACAAGTGTCACTCACTAGTGTCTGTCTGGTCAGTATGAAGCAAGGGAAACTGTCTAGCTTTATGTCTCCCTCTAAGAGGGAAAATCAAAAGAACAGTACCACAATGGTGTGACTCACCAACAACAAGGTCTCTGTGGGATGAGCAGTAACTAAAAGCTAGAAGGTGTCTGCCTAAGTGTGCCCTGGGTTGGAGAAGACCACTGTGTAATAAGGACCCATGCATAATAATGAACACACCCATATGGAAGCCCTGGATGGAGACCCAGCCAAAAAGAGGTTGAGGCAGGGGTGCATTCTCACCCATGTCTTGCAAAGTTGGCCCAGTACTTCATCATCCTCCTGTTCAGCAGCTTCTCCTCCTCAGTGAGGTCAACTGCAGACAAAAGGAGATGGGTCAAAGTTCTCGCTATCTCATGCATCTGCCAACTCAGGCTCTACAATGGCAACCATAGCCTGACCCTTACCCTGGCCTGGTGTATGCTCTCTTTCCTCAGCACTCAGAACCCAGGGTCTGTCTATGCCTCTACTTGAATTCTCTCAGGTTCACTCCTACCCCAATCTGCTTTCATTTCTTCTAGCAAAGCTAGTCTAGGAAAGGTTCATATTCTAAACCTGGTAGAGGTTTTGTTGGTTGGTTGGTTTGTTTGCTTGGTAATTTTTTTGTTTTGTCTTATTCTTTTTTTTTCAGCTCAGAAATGGTGAACACTAGATCCTGTTCTCTTTGAGATCCTCGGTTTCCTCAACTGGACTGAGAGCTCAACCTTCCCTCAGGAACTCATCAGGGGCTCGACTAGGCTCAAGGAAAACAAGGAAGACTCACGTTTCAAGCCCCAGAGGTTGGAGCCAAAGACAAAGGCACCATGATCACCATGGTCAGCCCTCACATGGGATGGCCTGAGGTGCTTATGCTTGGTGAAGCTGGGCTGGTGCTGGAACTGATAGAAGTAGACAGGAGCATGGGACCCTGGGAGTGAGGACAAATATTGACATAATGATTTCGCACATGGAGCGTTCCCACTTAACCTTCACTGTAAAGAAACCTTGCTCTAAAATTATTTGGAATCACAGTAGAGTGGAGAACTGAGTATGGGAATCATTTTATTAAACAGTGGCCCTGGCATTACCACGTGAGTGGTTTTGACCAGACCCCAAGTGTGACTAAAATGTTTCTTCCTCTGGACCTGGACACGACGCCGTTCATTTACTCCAGACTAAGGATTTGCTGAGATGTGCCTCACTGTCTTCAGGTACCTGATGTTAGAGACCTAATGATGACATGGGTCAGGCCTGGACACTACCGAGTCCATCTGGGACCCACAGCTCTGCGCTTCCCCTGTTCTAGGGATTGTTACAGATGTACTCACGCTGAAAATGGGCTACTTGGAGTGCAGGGATCACAAACATGAAGTCCGCCATCATGTCTCTGAACTGTGCTTGCAGAGTCTGTGGGTCCTCAACGTCCCCCATGTACTCTTCCATCAACAGGTCACTACACTCAGGAGGCAGCATCTACACCAGGAGGATTCAGGAAGAGAGATGTAAGGCAAGTCCTTGGATAGATGGGCAGCAGCCTACAAATAAGGAATGTGGCCAAGGATGAGACAGGGTATAGGCAGAAAGGTACAAGCATTGGGTGAGCCCACACAGAAACACACACATGCATTAGCCTTTATTCCGGGTGTGACATTGGAGAAGAATACACGGGAACCCTCTCTATCAGGACAGGAACCAAGGTCTCTCACCATATGTGCTGCTGTGTTCTTCAAAATACCTGACAGGGTCTGTCTGGTTATATTCTTTATGACATGATCAAAACCCATGTACTGGAAGGTAGAAGAGAGCCTTAAGTATAGGATGCATTGGGTCCAGATCAAAGTATCTCTGGGTCCTACCACCCACCATCTGAGCTTAAGTTCCCAGGAGCTTACAACAAGGTCTCACCAAGGGGATTCCCCAGCCAAATTCATCACTGTCGATACCAATGATGCTGGGGACAGGAGGAAAATCCCCAGAGGCCAACAGCTCCCGAGGGTGCCTTGGTAGGAACGTCCCATCCACCACACCAGGGGTCATAGTGAAGACCTATGGGGCATTAAGGGTCATTGCTGAAGATAAACCACATAAATAATCAATATTCTGATGCCCACTGAATGCCCACGCCATATTCCCGTTTCCTATAGCATCTCAGGATCTCAATGTTAACTCCAGAAGAAACTGCACATCAAAATTAGCCTGTCTTTCATTTTGCACAGAGTACTAAAACAAGACCAAACCAAGCAGACTAGTTTTAACTAGTTCCAGTAGTAAGTACTGACAATCCTAAATCCTGGTCCCCAGATTCTCCGAGCCACACCATTTTCCCAACCTGGTTGATAGCCAGAATCTCTTCATCACTCTTGTCTCGGAGGCAGAGCACCATGGCCTCTGAGTCCCTGGCTTTACATCCAGATAGGTTGGCCACTTTCTGCAAACGGAACAGGTGATGGTTAGCTCATTCCTTCCACTAGGGAGCAGAGTTTCCTTGTTCCAGTAGATGGCATTGCCCCTAAATAACACATCCTGCTGTTTGCTGTTTGCTGTGTGTGAAAGTGGAATCGGTCACGTTTTCTGTGGCTCAGAGGTGACAGCTGGGACAGGGACTGTGCCACCTGCATATGTGTTCTGTTGTTGCTTTGTTTCTGTGTGTGGAAAGTAGATATGGTGTGTCATATTTTGCCTGTGAAGTTCAGAGAATACCCTCAAGTGTCACTCATCACCTTACACCTTGTTTGCATTTGTCTACACGAGCTTAGCTGGATTATGTCTATTCAAGGATTCTACTGTCTGTTTCCCATCTCTGCATAGGAGCACTGGGTTACTGTCACATGGTACCACCTCTAGCCTTGTGTGGGCTCCGGGTGTTTGAACCTGGGGACTCACACTGGCACAGCTGACCCTTTCCCTCAATCTATGTGTACCAATTGGATACCTTTTTAAATCAGCTTGACATAAGCCAAGGTCATTGGGAAAAAGGAACTTCAACAGAGCAATTGCCTCTATCAGATTGGTCCATACATAAGTCTGGGCATTTTCCTGGTAAATGACTGATACAGAAAAGCCCATCACATTGAAGGCAGTGCCACACACGGGCAGGTGTCCTGGGCTGTATAGGAAAGCAAACTGAGGAAGCCATGGGTATCCAGCAAGTACACAGTGTTCCTCACTGGTCTCTGCTTTGGTTCTGGTTTCCAGGGACCTGCCTGAGAGCCCACTCTATCTTCCCTTCAAGTTGGACTATAAACTGTAAGCTAATATTAACCAATTTTCTCCCAAAGTAGCTTTTGATTATGGTCTCTGTAATAGTAATAATAAGAAGCAAACAAGGAAATCATGCAAATGAGTTTTGTCAATGGTAGAAGCCACTGGATACAGCTTCTCTGTTGTGTATCTTATTCAGCATACGTAAAGCAGAGGGGGATGGATTGTAAATTTTATGCCTCTCAGAATTTACTGGAAATAATCTATTTCCAATGATCATTGTTTTCTTCACTTAAGAGATTAACGGAGTACCAGAGGCGCAGACTGAAGCACCAAAGTAGGAAATGGTATTGATGAGGACACTCACTGTGTAGACCACCTCGGGTGTGTCAGAGATAAGGTCAGGCAGCAGGGCCACTCCGCTCTGCATGATGGCTCCATGGAAAAGTCCTTTGGACATTGGGGACACAACAAGTGAAGACACACTTGTTCCTCCTGCTGACCCGCCAAAAATAGTGACCTGGCCAGGGTTGCCTCCAAAGTAAGCGATATTCTGCTGGACCCAGCGTAGGGCAGCCACTTGGTCCAGGTAGCCCCAGTTGCCTGTGGCATGCTGGTCTCCAGAACTGAGAAGTGACAAGAACAGGAATCACAGATCTGTCCATATTCTACTCAGACCCCATTGTCCAGCCCAGTTCCAGGCTTACCTGAAGAAGCCGAGGATACCCAAGCGATACTGGATAGCAACCATTATTATATCCTCAGTAGCAGCCAGTATGGATCCATCAGTCATGGAAGCCATTCCCATAACAAGTGCACCACCATGAATCCATACCATCACCTGGAGACATCAACACAAATCTCAGGAAGCACAACCAGCCCATGGTCAATTGGACTACATACTAGATTATCAATTGCTTTGCCTCTGTGAAGGTCATTTTACACACAGATCTCCTCAGGATTTTGGGACATGGTCCACACAGATATGGTACTCTAGGCCAAAAGCATGTTACCATTCCCAATTCCCCATCAGGAAATCTTAGCTTGAATCAATGGCTTTACGTCACAAGTAATGAGATCATCACTCTCAAACTCATCAAAGTGGAGCAAACAGGGGTGTCTCCATGTGTGACTTTCCTGATTGCTAATCAGAAGGGACATCAGATCCCACTGGCAAAAAAGATTATCTGCAGCTAGGAATTTTGATGATGTCAATATTCAGCCCTTGATCACCCTCATGAGTGGATCTACCAGGTTCAAGTTGGTAGGAAAATTTCTAGTTTAATCAAAGACATAGAGCCTCTTATCTCTCAGAGCCCAAGAGCTCTGAGTCCCACACCCAGGGGTAAGCAGCTCAGCATGGCTGGGATCACCTTCCTGATCCCAATAAGTTAAGACTACCTATCAGAGTATAAACTAGAGTACAGTTCAGAATTACTTTTTCCCTTCCAATCCTCCAGAGAAAGAAACATCCTCCTCCCCAGCTGATGATATCCTGACACTCACAGGCAGGTTAGAGCCCTCATGGGCATGGGCTGGTGTGTAGATGTTGAGATACAGGCAGTCCTCGGACATAGAAATGGGATGCACGATCAGATTCATCTCCTCAGCGCCCTCTAGAGTCATTATATCAGTCTGCAGACACCTGGAGAACATGGCAAACAGTCCAAGATATATGATACAAACTCAAAAATCATAGTCTGAATTTTCAGCTACTGCTTTCCATGATTTCCTGCTAACATCTGACCCCTCTCTGAAGTCCCTTTCTACCAAGGTAAAGGCCACTAGCCCTGTGGGAATGGGGATGGAGGAGTACTTTTAGAGAGGGCTCTGATTGGGTAGTAACGCCCCGAGGGCTAGAATATGGGGACTGCTGCCATCCTCTATGAGATGGTCGCCTTCCTGTACTGACTTTCATCCCTTCTGTGCTATTTAAACCCTGGTGTGGGGGTTGGTTTTGACTGTTGACTGACACAATGTGGAATCACCTGGGAAAAGAATCCTAATGAGGAATTTTCTAGATCAGCCGTTCTCAATTTGACTAATGCTATGAGACATTAATAGAGCTCCTCATTTTGTGACCAACCATACACTCTCTTGTTGCTACTTCATAAGTGTAATTTTGCTACTGTTATGAACAGTAATGTGAGCTGGGCGTTGGTGGCACATGCCTTTAATCCCAGCACTCAGGAGACAGAGGCAGGCGGATCTCTGTGAGTTCGAGACCAGCCTGGTCTACAGAGCAAGTTCCAGGACAGGCTCCAAAGCCACAGAGAAACCCTGTCTCAAAAAAACAAAAACAAAAACAAACAAAAAAACCTCCTTTGAACAGTAATGTGAATATCTGTTATACAGGATATTTGATATGCAAACCCTTGTGAGGGTTGCAACCGACAGGATGAGAACCGCTTGTCTAGATCCTGTTTGCCTGTGGGAAGGCCCATTGCAAATTATCTGATTACATTGATTGACAGAGAAACACCTGCCCATTGTAGGCGGCACCAGTGCCTGGGAAGGGGCTTCAGAATTGTTTAGGAGTCAGGAGAGTGAACGACGCATTAGCAGTCATGCATGTGACCTATAGGCTCAGTTTCTGGTTAGCGATGGGACGTGATTGGTTCTCTTAAACTTCTGCCCTGTGGTTTCCACCTGTAACCGATTATGACCTGGAATTGTGACCCATAGTAATATCTTCCCTCTCTGCATTGTTTATGTCAGCGTCCTCTATCACAGCAACACAAAACAAACTAAGATACTTGGGTGTTGGGGCTGTGCCTACACTGGAGCTATAGGGATGAATGGACAACACCACAGGGTAGTAAGACATTCTCCATCTCACTCCAGACTCTCACGGTCCCGCCTTCTTCCACATTGTCTCAAGTTAAAAGCATGTGTAATTGTTCGTTAGCTAATGGCACCTAGAAAACAGATGGTCACAGTGACCGTGAAGAATGGCCTTAGTCTCTGTTCCTCACTGCAGAACCTGCAGCTAAGTCCCTAAAGGCATCAAGCTCTGACCCAGGATCCTGGCACCATTGTTCCTCTCTAATCCTTAGCACATTCCTCTGAAAACTGCATGGGAGATGCCCTCAGGACAGACAGAACACTGCTATAGAGCTGAGACGGAGGAAGCACAGCAGTGTGGCCTAGAGCTCAGGCCTAAAGTCCCCTTGGGCCCCAAAACTTACATGGCTGGAAAGGAGGTCCCATCTCTCACACCACTCCATGGCTCAGGGGGCTCTGGGGGTGCAAAACGCAGTGGTCCAACAGGTGGCTTGGCAAAGGGAATCCCCAGGAAGGTGTGAACACCAAGTTCACCGTCTTTCACATGGACGAGGCTTCCTCTCACCTGCCCTGTGTGTGTGTTCCTGATGGGGCTGGCTGAGTCCTGGCCTGTAGGTGAAGAGAAGCCATCAGTTGTCACCACACACCTCGTTGTCACAGAGTTCCACCACGGGGCAGATAACCTGAGTCCTCTCAGCTCAGCTGTGCGATGTGAAGACGAGGTCGTCTGGATTACCTATGTTACTGTTGCTGGAAAGCGTGACTGTTGGCCCTCTTGGAAACTGACAGGTCACTTCTCTAGTCGTCAAGCTGTCAGGCTGAGAGCCTCTTGGCATCATGAAGGAATTATTATCCTTACCCACACTGCCACTAGGAGTTCCGACCACAACCACGCACAGAGGAGGGACATGTCTCTCCCGCTCTTCTGCCCCTGCTGGCTCCACAGTACATGGTAACTTTACACGTCTCTGACTCTTCCTGTGCCACAGGGCCCATCCTGTGAGCTTTGGTGTGGGCATTAGAGGGGGCACAAATCCACACTTTCATCTGTCGTCTCCACAGCTCCTCCCTCCCTGGTGCCTTCCCTCCCACGAGCTCAGCCTCCGACTCTGCAGAACTGGGCAGCTCTGACCCTGGTCCCTCTGCTCACCATGCACGTGGAGGAGGAGAAGCAGGAGCCCACAGGCCACAGCAGACAGCCAGCCAGGAAGTCTACCGAGTGGCATATTGAATGCCAGGGCTAACTCTGTGCTGCTACAAGACGACAGTCTCACGACAGCAGGAAGCAGAGAAGGTAGGACTTGCCTAGGCAGGAAATTTATACCTTTCTTAGGGCAGGTGCAAAGTTCTTATTGCAGCAGAACTGATAAGGCAGAAACCACTGGGAGCCAATCACCAGCAGGCAGGAAAAAGTAACTCTGCAGTTTCTCCTCCTTCTCTGGACTCTGAGAGAGATGGAGCATAGCATCTGAAGTCCTTCTGGAATCAGGATCCCTGACATGAACTTGGAGTCACCATGATCTCTGGCCCTTTAACCCAATGTGGCATGAGAGTGAAGACCCCAACAACACACACACAGATACACAGACACACAGTTGTCACACAGTTGTCACACACACACACACACAAACACACAACCTCGTTTGTACCAGCACTGACATGAGAGCTGCTGGGAGAAGCACAGCGGCGACTGCACACAAAGTCCTGGCCTGCTGTGCTGGGGATCAGGAAATGAGGGCATGACAGAAAGTCACCTAAGAAACCTAAAATACCCACAGGCTCTCAGTCTGGACATTGGGTGAGGATAAGCGTTTGGACACCATGGGTTTGTTGACTCTTCTTTACCTCAGAAAATGTCCTGCTTTGGATGCTGTGCAGTCTTAAGCAGCCCTGATCCTCTCTGCCTGGGAGTGCAGGGAGGGGTCCAGTAGACCCTCCTCCTCCTGCTGTGTGTGTCATCTCTACAGCTCCACCTCCCTGACACCTCCCCTCCCACAGCACCACATTCAACACAGCAGAGTCTGGCAGACCTGATGAGTTGCAACAAGAAAAGTTAAAAGCCCCAAATCAGCCAAGAGTCATTGGTGAGAATCAAATTAGGTGAACAAATTTCTTCTTTTTCAGCTTTTTGCTTTGTTTTGATTTTTGTGACAGAGTATTGTATGTAGTCCAGCCTAGCCTGCTATCTCAGCTTCCCAGGTTCTGGGTTTATGGCGTATCACCTATAAAACATGCAGCTAATACACCCTTCTAAGTAATCTTGGGCATTGTCTGTAAGCCTCCGCTACTTTGACGTTCCCATGGGCGACACAGGTCAAGGATGAGACAGAAGAGGACAGGCACACTCTGTCTCTCTTACAGTTGTCACAGACACTGAGCCCAGGAATCCAGATGAAGAATACTCCAAACAGCAGCCATGAGTGAGGCAGGTAGACCTTCCTGCATGGAGAACTCTGGTGACCTCCCAGAGCCTGGTGACCCACAGCAGGGGTCACAGGTGAGGTGAGTTCAGTGGCTCTGACAGGGGTGGCTCAACAAAGTTTACACTATGAGATTGCAGAATCCCAGGAGGAGGTCAGTGGGTCCACAATAGGAGAGTGTATGACTGCACACACCATGGGCATGAAGCCATTTTGGCTCAAATCCTGATAAGAGCCTGAGAATTTCTGCTAGGCCCAGAGCACACATGCCCTTTGCTCTGGAAGCCAACCTGCCTTTGCCTCAAGATAGGTGCATGGTTAAAAGAGCCCAGGGACCACTAAGGTCAACTGAGGCCCGTAGGGCACTTCTATATGCCTAATAACTCTAAACTAGTCAAAGGATGGCAGGCCACTGTCCTGTCCTAGGTCACACACTCACATATCACACTCTATATTATCATTATCCAAAAGTCCGGGAGCAGCTACAGATACAAAAGCACCTAGGAAAAGATCCCTCTGCTCCTTTATCCCCTGATCTGCAGGTCCAACACAACTTAGATCCCATACTTCTGGGCTGGGTCCTCAGTATAGGCCACCTCCTCCTGTATCAGTGAAGTTTTTCTTGGGAGAAGGCTCCTCTGTGGGCTTTGGGAGGCACACCTGAAGTCAGTTTAAGTAAGGTTCCCCTTAAGAGTCTCCCCTGAATGAGAATGAGAAGCAGGAGCCCTTAGGCCACAGCATTTAAGCAGTTAGGAAGTTAATCTGGTTGGCATGATGCCCTCCCAGTCTGTGCTACAGTGGGGTGCACAGTGTGTCATTGACAGCAAACAGAATATGGGGACCTTGCTCAGACGGGAATTTGGATCCAAAGTGGAATAGGAGGAAAGCTTCCTGGGACAGGGAAAGGTCTGAACTGAACTGGCAAAGTAGAGGTTACAAGAGTCAGTTGTAGCAGATAGAACCAAGCCAGGTCATCTTCATCTTCTATGGAAGGCACTGCAGGGCTCCCAAGGTCCTTCTAGGACACCAGCACCCCTCTCTTTAACCTGGAGTCACCACATTCACAGTCCTTCCAGCAACAAGGCCAGGGCAGGTGTTGGGGTGGAGAGGAGGCTGCAGAGAGCTGTAACTGGAAATATCAGGAGGGCGTCTCTGGTAGACGATGCTGAGGACGTCATAGGCGGAGGATGGGGTGCGGCTCTGGGAAAGGTGACATGGATCAAAGAGAACTGCATGAGCATGCCCGCCACCCCGAAAACTGCTCCCTGCTTTCAGGACTTAGAATTACCTGATTTCACATTCAGGGTCCCTCATCCCTTGCAGTCGTGATTTTAAGTCGACACATCACCCTCCCTGCTCCAACATAGCTGTTCCATTGAAACACACTGCCTACCTGGCACCTCTGAAGGACCTACCCCCTACCCACTCCACCTCCATACTGCCTTACTCTCATGGCCAACTCTACAGAGATGAAGTTCACAATCATTTATACACTCAAGAAACATTTAATGGGGACATACTTGTTGTGGTTTCTGACACTAACGAGGCTTTCAGAGCTTATAATACATGTCTATGGGTAGGAGTTTCAGAATCACATAGAATCAGCCTCTTTTTAAACCAGTGGTAATAAAACATATTCACAGCATACAGAGAGACATCTCACATTATTTCCCCTTTTCTGTCTAATCAGAAAGGAAGGTTTTAACTTTAACATAGTAAAATTAAATGTAACAAAATGGTTATCAAGAAAAGATTACAAATACAATATTTAGTCTATTTGTACTTGACAAAATTAAATACTCTATCATCTCTCCTATCTTTGTGAGTCTAAAGTTTCACATCTAACTTATATTTTACCAGAACTAAGAAAAACTGCAGTTATAGCTATCTAGTCTTCAAGTCCATCGAGGTCTCCAGAAAGATATAAAATCTCAGAAAATGTATTGTAAGCAACTTCCAAAACTCTATAAATGACAGAACCACATGGCTGCCTGGATAGTCACACAAAGTTCTTCTGTAATGTTGGGGCATCCATCTTCAGCCTACAGGCCCATAGTACCTGGAAGACTTTTAGATGAAGCAGGAAGTTTGAAAGACTGTCCCACCTATATTGGCAATTTGTCAGCCATTTTCCTCTGTGTACTGCAGAATGTCTGGCAGTTTCTTATGCGAAGCAGGAACCCTGAAGGAGCATCTTGCCTTGTTTTGACAAAGTTCAACTGTCATTTTCTTAAGTAACCTTCATGTTCAGTTTATACAGCATACAGTCAAGCAGTCCAGGTAAGAGCAGTTCCTTGACTACATGGAGAACCTTGCCACACTGAAAGCAAACTCCATAAGGAGTTTAACAAGACCAAGGATGGGGAGCTCAGATTTGTGGGTCCCAGGTGAGCAGGATAGCATCCAGACCTGACTCACATCTTCACCAGATCTTTGATACCAGGCACCTGAAAACACTGACCTCAGTAAATCCTTATGTTTACTGTAAAAGAGTCCAGAGGAGGAAACATGTTATTTACTGTGTCTTGTCTAAGCTGCTCATCTGGGAATGCCAGGGTTAGTGTTGAATAAAAGGCCAATGCTCTAGCCTGGAGCTCACCAATAAACTGTGATTCCAGATAACTTTGGAGCAAGGTTTCTTTTCACTGAAGGTTAGGTGAGAAAGCTCCATGTGAGAAATCATTATGCCAACGTGTGTCCTCACTCCCAGGTTCCCATGCTCCTGTCTACTTCTATGGTGTCTATTGTTATATCTCCTTTTTCATTTCTAGTTTCATTAATTTGGATATATTCTCTCTCTGTCTTTCGGATTTTTTTGAATAAGGGTTTGTCAACCTTACTGATTTTTTCCCCAAGAACCAACTCTTTGTTTAGTTGATTCTTTGTAATGTTTCTATATTATTTATTGGAGCTCTAAGTTTGATTACTTCTTGCCATCTACTCCTACTCAATGTGATTTTTCTTTTTGTTTTAGTAGAGCTTTCGAGCATGCTGCTGAGTTACTAGTGTGAGATCTATTCTTTTTTTTGTGTGTGTAGGTACTTAGTACTATAAAGTTGCCTTCAATATGTCCTGTAAGTTTGGATGTGTGTATTTATTTTCATTCAATCTTAGAAAGTCCATTTCTTTGTAAATTCTGTCATGACCCATTTTTCCATTAAGTAGAGAGTTGTTCATTTTCCATGAATT